GGGCTGCTCCCTGTAGTGTTGCTCTGTCTGATGGTAGTGTCTTGTCCAGTTTTATCCCCTTTAGTCCAGCTTCCCAGCCTGAGCAGTGTGAGCTTCCACGGCTTCACAGCAGCACCAAGGGTATAGAGGTTCTGGAGTAGCCCTGAAGTGCTGTGGGCATTATCTGGTGTGTAGGTAGAGGGGGGCTTGTTTCAACAGCATCCCATCACTGGGAGTGAGACCTACTAAAAACCAGTGGCAGCAGTCCCTGGCAGTTGTGGTGGCCGAAGATCAGGACCTGACATGGAAAATTTGCCTCTAATATCAAAGCTTATTAGAAATAGGATGCTTGTAGCCCTGATAGGTCCCTTGGGATGGGATGACCCAGCATGCGTAAGGGACCAGACGATGTCACAGGATGTCAGATTATGTTGCTCGATGTCTGTGAGGAAGATGCCTGCTTGTTCTCCTGTTAAGTGATTCCTTATAGACTCTTACGTCTTTATTCTTGGTCTCTCTGTACGGAGGAGGTAGAAGTGGTATAGGAGGTCACCATAGGATATTGAAGAAACAGGGCTAGGAGAAAGGTAACAGCTCCCAGATGGATGCTCTTTCAATAGAAGAGGAAGGTGCCCCAGCAGATGTCCTGAGGGCTCCTGGTCTGGTTTGGCCAGATGGAGAAAACCTGGTGTCGTGGGTATAGGTTGGGGAGGGAAACACTCGATCTTCCAAAGAACACCTCTAAATGGTACAACTCGGGGAGGAAAATTGGCCTATTTATTTCCCATTCACCCAATACATTGTGTGATGCCCCCTTGCTGCTTTGTGTCAGCTTTATTGTAACGAATTGCCCTAAGCTTTACATAGCAATTTTACGAATTGCTCTGATTTCAGATGCATCCAGGGCCTCTCGCCCTGCTCCCAGCACGACGCAGGCTTATAGGGAATGCAGAGGTGTCCTGGGTCCTGAGGCATTTGTTCCAACCCTGCCTCAGCAGTGAAGTGCACAGAGTGAAGGAAGCAGCAGTTCCCTTGGCCCTTCACAGAGAGGGAACAGCAGCTCTGCACAAGCTGGCTGAGGACTGGGCTGAGTCAGAGAAGCATCCTGTTGGACACGGAGGAATAGCAAACCTGAGTGAGGAGGTGGATGCTGTCTCTGGAGCCGAAAGAGGTGGTTACTGCCATCAGTTTTGAGGTTTATACAGAAAACTGGGAGAGGTTCAGAAGAGAGTCATCAGGTTGATCTGTGGGCTGCTAAATCTGTGAAGCACACAAGAAACTCAGATAACAGAGGACAAGGAAATACTTTCATGATCTTCCAATTCTTCTATGAGGACAAAAGTCCGTTTCTAAACTTCCAGCGCTTGGAAGCTGAAGCCCGTCCGTTTCAACCTGAAAATAATAGGTGCATTTTAGAACAGGGCCAGTAACTGCAAGGCAAACCTCGCAAGAAGCACAGCGGGCTCATCGTAACATGAGGTGCTCAGAGAAATCAGGGTGTCTGTCTATAACGCATGCACAGGGTCACCCTGAGTGTTTCAGCTGTGGTTCCAATCACCTGCAGAATTGACCTGTCCTTGTGCTGTCTCATCAAGCTGCCCTGGGTCTTGCAGTCGCTGTGACCTTCTTGCAGGTATTGCCTGAAAGTGTCTTGTTTCTTTGGAAAACTCAGATTTCCTTCTTGTCTTCTCGCTTTTCCTTATTTCCCTTCATCTTTTCCACCATTTTCAACAGGCCCTGCTGTTAAGACCTGAAGGTGGGGTACATCTGGATCCCCATCCTTCCCAAGTGCTTCCAGTAGCTGAGTTCAGGCAGCTCCTTGCACTCTGTGTGGGCTGCAGAAAAGCCAGTTTGACACCCCCATGGATTCATCCCCATGAGCAGAGAAGTCTGCTCAGCTCCTGGTGCTTTAAGGTGAAGTGCTGAAGTCCCAAGCTCGAGCCTAGACAAGGCTCATTTTGAAATGATTCTGCAAGCAAGCTGGGCTGGAAACCTCCAGAGGTCAAATCTGACCTAAATCTTTCTGTGATTTTATTTATGGTGCATTTCCCCTATGTCTGTGATAGTGAGAGCAGTCACTGAGAAGATGCAATGGTGGAAGTTCCTGCCTATCCAGAGACACTCCTTTGCCCCAGGTAGAAGAGAAGTGCTGAAGTTGCTGTAGTCACTCATCCCATTTGCCTCCTCCCCAACAGGCCATGTATTTGCCTCATTAAGGCTCATCAGATGAGCCCCACCTCATCTATTTGGTTCTCTCTTTTCTAAGCCAGATGAGGGCAGGTTCCACAGCTACCTACGTGGGCCATGGCTGGTCACAAATGATTCACACGATGCTCTAGCTGTTATCTTCTGTAGCTTCCTCAGCATGGAGGAAGCAGGAGATGCCTTGCAGAAGCCTTGTGCTCCCAGGCTGGCACACAGTGCATGGAAGTGGCAGAAAAGCATCCCAGGGTCCTTGCTCCTACCCGGAGGGACCCAAAGCTGAGATGCTTCTCCAGCTGCAGGGCCAGCCATGGAACCTGTGTCTCAATCATGGAATGTTGCCGCATCCCACTTCTGTGGTGGGACAGGTCTGGGTGTATGCAGCCCTTGTCCTGGAGCAGCCTGTATGAGTGTGGGATGGGTTCCCAGAGCATGTGCAGCTCTGATGTGCCAGAGAGACCATGGGCTGTGTACTGAGTCCCCATCCTGTGCTGCAGGATGATCTGTATGTAGCTTGGTCACATCTTCCTTCCAAGGCCTTTCTCCACAGGGAGAAATACTTGTCTTGGAGATAGCAGATGTCCTATGAAATGTGTTGTCAAGGAAGCAGCAAGGTCTGGCAAGAGCTCACAGGCTCCAGAATTGTTACCTCTGTTTTATCTGAACACCAGTGTGAGAAACTAATCCCAGGAGTTTACAAGATGGGCCCTGTAGCAGTGGGACCAGGATATAAGGGATAAGGGGTGGTGTGCGATGATGGAGAGTTTCAGACTGGTGGGTAACAGGGTTTGGCTTAGCCAGAAGCGGATGGAAGGATTGGAGTTCAGGAGGAGGTAAGGCGCTGGTCTCAGGATCTGTTGGAATCAGAGGATGGTTTGGGTCAGAAGGTACCTGTAAAGATACCTTCCTGCCATGGACAGGGATGTTTTTCGTTACATCAGGTTGCTGCAAGGCCTGTCCATCCTGACCTTGGATACTTCCCGTGATGGAAGTTCTCTGCACTTACTTTTAATCAGTGCTGGACAAAAACTTTGCTGAGGCTAGCCTGCATTGCACCTTCCTTCAAGAGTGGGGCAACCCAAGGAGATGAGGGAAAGGGTGGAGCAGTGCTGTGGCAGATTTTGCTTTACCATATCCAGCCCTTACTCCCCTTGGCACACAGGCATTGAACATCCTGAGTGCTACAGTGCTCTGAATCCAGAAACCCAGTCGTGAAGAGGCAGATGGATGGCTTCTGTTGGTAGACTTTGAGAGCAGTTGCTCAGCTGTAATTCATTACAGCAATGTGCAAGAACATGCTGCAGCCACACTGGTCCAAGTAGCACAGTCCTACCGCTGCTGTGTCTGCAGCCCTCAGCTGGCACACTTTCTGTCGCTGCTCATAGTGCCAAAGGAAACCAGACTGGAGACGGGTAATTGATGCTTTGCTTTGTGTGCCGCTCTTCCAAACTGTTTCTCAGAGCTGTCAAATGAGTTGTTCTTCCATGAAATATTGAAAGGGTCGGACCTGGTAAGAGCCCTTCTGAGTGCAAGCCTCTCTGCATCCATTTATAACTAAGCCTGGCATGCAAGTGATGGGGAAACGTTCTTGCTACCGCGTTCCATTTCTGTCCCATCCCAGAGGCTTGCCCTCTGCCCCAAAGCTGCTGAAGCAGTGAGTCTGTGCTGGCAGATGTGCCAGGGCTAAGGCTGTGCTGGAGCTAGCACTCTCCAAGGCTGGGCTGGTGATGTGTGATGTCTGGGATGAGCTCTGGACTGACATCCGTGCAGGCTGCACTGGCTCTGCTGTCCGCAGGCTGGGCACGGGGTGGGCAAGGACCCATGCTGTGCTCTCAGAGTGAAGAGAGGGCAGCGCAGGCACCTCCGTGTTCCAACCCCTCCAGCAAAGGGGCTGTAGGCAGATACGTGCAGTGCTGAAGCATCTCTGCTGTCAATGGCTGAGCCAGCCCAGGTTAAAAGCAGCCCAGGCTGCTTGCTGACCTGCCGCAGTGCACAGCAGGCAGGAACAGAGCTGGTCAGAGCCTCCCAGGGAGCTGGCAGCCCCATGCTGAGGTCCTGCCACATGGGCTTGTCAGCACAGGTACCCTGGAGGAGCGTTTTCCCATGGCGTTGTCCCAGCCGAGGCTGCACTGCTGCTACCTGCATGAAGCCATGCAGGCAGCACAGGGCAGTGACGGGGTGGACGTCTGCCCGTGCTGCTGGAAGGTCTCGTTGTGCGCAGTGGGACGAGTGGCATGTGTGGGTGTGCTGTTTCCAGGGCAGGCTGGCGAGGCGGGTGGCTCACCATTGTCAGTGTGTCAGGTCAGGTTTGCGTTGCCTGCTCAGGCTGCTCTGTGCGCCTCCCCTGAGTGGCATGTGCAGCCTGCAGAGCCAGCACGCCCAGGCGGAGAGGAGCTGCTTGCTTCCTGCATTGCTTGCGCCTTAGAAAGCTTCTCTCTGCAAATGTCAGAGTACAAAACCCCTATTTCCCCAAGGCAAGCACGGAGGATTGCACGTTGCTGGGCTGGTAGTGCTTTTTCCAGGGGAATAAGGTCGTGTTTGCTCCAACCCTGGCCTCGCTTTGCCTGGGAATGGTGTGTTTTCCTGCCTGAAACACTGTCTGTGTGTTGTCTAATTGCAAACTCTTCCCATGCAGTAGAAGCATTTTGTCCTCCCCTAGTTGCTCTCTGCAAACAGCAGCAGCCAGGATCCCCTGACCAGCCCTGCCACTGCTGGAAGCAAATTGATTAGCTTCAAGCATCAGTAATACACCTGCCTTCCTCCAGCCAAGGGATGCAGCAGGCATCTGACTGAGGCCTCTCTCTTGATCTCTCTTCCAGCTCCTTCAGCTGTGTCCATCATGCACCAGGTCAGCCGCACCGTGGACAGCATTACCCTCTCATGGTCTCAGCCTGACCAACCCAATGGAGTCATCCTGGATTATGAGCTGCAATATTATGAGAAGGTACTGCGGGACCTTGGCTGGGGTCAGGGACACGTTTTTGGGTAGAGGAGGTGGTGCAAAGCTTCCTGTAAGGGTGTAGCACCGGCTACAGCAGTTGGTTGCTCAGTAGGTTACCTCTCTTGCTGCAGTTGGCCATGTAGGTGGCAGTGGCTGTCAAGCTTTTGGTGGTTCCAATGACTCTGTGGAGGTACTGCAGGTGTGGAAAAGCTGCTGGTCTTTAGGAGGAGTTTCCTCCGTCACCTCTCCAGTACTTGTGACCGGTGGACCCATTGCAGGGAGAGCTCAGTAGCCAGGGTCCAAGCTCTAATTTTAACCTTTCCCCTACTGGGGCATTAGTGGGGAATTGGGATGGTTGGTAGGGAGCATCAGGTCCCTGGCTGGACCACGTTAGCTGAGTGTCCAGTCTTCAAGGTGCAGTGTAATTCTGTCTTTCTGTGTATTTACACCAAAGGTAAGTTTGGCATCTGTGTGCAGCCTGAACCCAGATGTTGTACCAGGGAGAAGCCACCCCATGCCCCTATGGAGGGTACATAGTGCACTACAGAGTCAGGGGAGGCTGATGTGAAGGAGGTCTACAGCTGTGGCTCTTTCATCCCCAAGGAACATGCTCCTTCTGCATCCTCCTTGCCCATGCAAGCAGAGGGACTGTGAGCCAAGGCAGTGCCAGTGTGTCTGTCCCATGGGGCTGGAGTTGCATGGCTACTGAGAGACCTAATGGCCATGGTCCCAGGACCTGCCAAGCTCTGCCATGCTGGTGAGCTTCATCCCTGCTACCCAGGGGATGTGGGGAGCAGGTGATTTCTCCTTCCAGGAATCTGCCCCCTTACCCAAGAGCTTATAAACTACACATTAAAAATTGCAAACTAACTAATTAAAAAGCTGTATGATTAAATGGAACTGAAAATATTTTTCCCAGCAGTTGCCAGAAGAAATGATTAATCCCCCCCACTGCCTGCCTGTGACCTATTTTCTCGTCACCAAGAGCCAGAGGGAGAATGGGGAGGGGGGGGGGGGAGCTTCTTTGTAGGCTGTTAAATAGGTCCTGACCTATATCACACAAATCACAACCATTTATTTGACCCTTGGAAATGATCCCAGAATATGTGGCAAGGTAACAAGACAGATCTGGTCTTTTCCCCATGGACGCTCAGCGTAGGGACAGAAGATCTCAGGGAGTTCATTCTCCTCCTCTTACTTTCTCTTAATCTCTTCCCCGTTTTCTTTCTTTCCCCTCCCCTCTGTTTTCTGGGAGAGGCTGTAAATAAATGGAGCTTTTTTCTAAAGGGGAAGCTTCTGCTTGTGGCCAGTCTTCACAAGGGACCGCAAGGTGAGCATCTGCTTGCCCCATTGCCAGAGCTTAGGGCACAGCATGTCCCTGATGGCAGGGACAAGTGGCCCAAGCCACACTTGGGCAATGCTTTTCTTGGCATCAGGCTCTCAGGTGGAGCACTAGCCCCAGCGGAGAGGACAAGGCAAGCAACCCCATGTGCTGGTGCTGAGGCGCTCTGTCCCAGTATTCCATAGAATCATAGAATGGTTTGGGGTGGAAGGGACCTTTAAAGGTCACCCAGTTCCAACCCCACTGCAATGAGCAGGGGCATCAACTTGACCAGCTTGCTCAGAACCCTGTCCAGCCCAATCTTGAATGTTTCCAGGGATGGGACCAGACATCCACAACCTCTCTGGGCAAACTATACCAGTCTTTCACCACTCCCATTGTAAAGACTTCTTCCTTATATCTAGTCTGAATCTACCCTTCTTCAGTTTAAAACTGTTACTCCTTGTCCTATTGCTACAGGCCCTACTAAAAAGTCTGTCCCCATCTTTCTTTTAAGCCTCCTTTAAGTATTGAAAGGCTACAGTGAGGTCTCCGCATTCTCTTCTCCAGGCTGAAAAACCCCAGCTCACTCAGACTTTCCTCATAGAAGATGTTCACCAGCCTTCTCATGGCCTTATCATAGAATCATGATAGCTTTCCTGCAGTCCCAGGGGCCACAGTGCTTCTGTCAGGGGCTCAGTTTTCTTGTGAGAGGCATCCAGACACTCTTTAATGCAATGCAATTGATCAGATTCCTGGCTGGGAGAGCAAATGCTTTGGAGATCTCCACCCAAGTGGTGTTCTCCATCAGTCAGGAAACTGTGGACCCTGTGGATCTACCCCCAGAGCGGCTGGCAGTACCCTGTTACCACATCTGAGCATCCCTCTTGAATGCACACAGTCCCGTAGGGGCTGAAATTCAGATGTATGTGATGATTTGGCACGCAGCCTTGGACTAGCTTTGGTCGTGTGGCTCTGTTTGCTTCAGGAACCACAGCAAAGTGCTGCTGTGCAGATGCACAGAGGAGCTGCCTGCCAAATTCGGTCGGTTGACGTTTTCCTTTGGCTTCATGTATGGATGTATTGATTGATTTTGGATGATAAAGCATGACTTTTTAGAAACACTTTTTGCTGATTTCACAGACTGTGTTGCAAGGAACTCTATTGATCAGACTTCGGTTCCAGCTTAAATTTGGCTCAGGGGAAGGGGGAGCAGATGAGGACTCAAAAGCAAAGGAAATACGAGGGAATAAGAAGTGTGTTATTTTGAGTTAGGATTTCCGAATTAAAACCAAAATCAGGCAGGAAACACAAAAAGAAACCCCTCAGAAAGTCAACCCAACAAACCTGTGCAAAACCCAACAGCTTGGACTTGCACTCTAAACTGCCTGGGATGCCCTTGACCCACTGCAGAAGCCCTAGGGGTGGAAGGGGAAAAGTGTTTGAAGTGAATGCAGAGGTTGCTGGAGAGCTGATGGCTGAGCTGTATGCCAAGGGAAAAGAATAGGTTTGATGAGGGAAGGTGGAGAGCTGTAAATGCTTGTTTATTTGTGGTCTGGGATTAAAGGAGAGCAGAGTCACGAGCACACGTTCCTCAGACAGACAGACATCCATTTCCCAAGTGATAAACCATCTTGTAAGCATGCCCATTCATTGCATTCAATTTAAAGTCCTCCAGGAGCAGGGATGAGGTCCCCTCGAACAGTTGGACAAATGATTTTAAGACAGTTGTGTTGTTTGTGCCATCCAAGGGCCTGGGAGGATTCATGCAAGCCCCTGAGCACTAAAAGCTGTAAACATGTCCTGACCTATTTCCCTCTTAGCCTTCCTGGGAAAGGTCCAAAGGACTGCTGAGGCCTGATCAGGCACACAAGGCAATCAGTTTCCTGTGTTCATCTTTTCTTGATCTTTCTTGGTTTTTCTCTGCACTTGAGCTTTTCACTGCCATTAGTCTAATTCCCAAACACCCCAGTGATACCTGGGCACCTTCAGTGCCAGCTCCAGGTGGATAAAGCTGGCTTTTTTAGGTTTTTTTAGGAGAAAAAACTGTTCCTGAACCTGTTAATAGTGGAGGTTTCCGAGGTGCTCCTCATTACCGTGCAGAGTGATGTGCCATCAGCATTTCTGAGCCTCCAAGTTTGAGTGCACATTTGACTACACGTTGTGTTGGGATAAACGCATTCCTGGCAGACCACTCTCTTACCAGCCATCCACACCAGAGCCCTGCTCAATCAAAAGCTTAATACAAGAAGAAATTAACTCCATGAATGTTGCCTTTCAGCTGCTTTGCAGCTGTGAGGAGAATAGTCTGCTCGACCCCAGGTCATGGGTATAATCCATCTCACAAATGCCAGTGCATTTGCAGTTCTGTTCCAGCAGGATGTCTAATTGAGAAAGCACCGAGCTCTCCCAGGAACATAAGGAGAACATTGGTTCAACATGGTTTGCTGTATGGAGCCCCACAGTGAATGACTGTTCTTTGTGGGCCTCTTGTGTTGCTGGTACCACGGCTTCTGGCTGTGCAGATCCTCTGAGTGAAGGTACCAGTGCTGTTCTCACAAGGGAATGAACGTGAAAGCAAAATCTCCAGATGGCTAAGCAGAAAAGAAAGGAGACCAGCAGCCCCCAAAGGCAAACGCCACCATTTATGGGGGAGGAAGACAACTTCTGACTCACCCTGTGCTCCATCAGTTGAGGAGGCTGAGGACGCAGCCCAGGCAAAGGGTGTGCAAAGCTTGGTGCAGAGCCTCCACTGACTCCTCCTTCACTGTGTCTGCAGGCAGCCAAAGCAGCACAAGAGAGCAGCATCATGCGTGACTTGTACCATCGTGTGATGAAACCTTGGTTCATCACAAGGGGGGACCTTCTGCCTCGTCACCGCTTTGACACCCTTTGCTCCCCATGGGGAGTTTCATTCTGCTCTAACGTTAGCACAGGACAAGAAGAAATCCCCTGTGCCCCCCCCATGGAGTGTCACATCCTCAGTCCTACTTGATGCCATTGCACAAACTATGTGTCTGCCTCCTTTCTGCCAGTCCCTGCCTACTTCCCATGAGGTTACCTCACCTCACTAGTCACCCTGTATGGAGTGGCAGCTCTTGGGCTCGCTGAGCCCTTTGCAGTGCCTGAAGTGAGCAGATTTCAGAGATTTGCCTGTAACCTTGCCAGCGCAGATTCTGAGCTGTTAGCTGCTGAGCTCTTCCACCCAGTGATCCTGCCAAGGCAGCCTGACCTGCCAGATCGGAGGTGCTACCAGAGAGGTTGAGCGCTTTCAACATAGCTACACACGTTTGATTCGAAACCTGGTGCCTGTGCCTGTTCTATGGGAGCTCGTCCTCACAGCTTGGCTTTCCTAAGATGCCTCTGTTTCCCAGAAGCCATGCTGTTTGCATATATTGCTGCTTTGAGCTGGCTTTCGGGGCTTCATGGCTGCCAGGCATCTGCCCACCTAGCCCTGACCACATTCAGCACCCTCTTTCATCCTCTGTTGACCTGTTTCTCCATGTCCCCGGAGGGGCAGGGGCTGTCTGATCTCTTGTACCGTGGCTTGCCCAAGGAGACCCTCCCCATCCACTAGTGCTTCTGGATGTTCAGCTAAAAGGGCATAATTACTAAGGATCCATCATCTACATAAGTGCAATGCCATCTATACCGTTATGATGGGGCTGCTCAAATTTGGAGGTAGTTTCATTGTTGCTTTTAAATACGCTGTTTGGCTGCCCAGCTTTGGAAACCTGGCGTGGTCCCTGGTGAAGCAGTCACTGGGCAGGGGTACTGCAAACCAGTGAGTGAAGCAGGCTGTAACAGTTCTTTTTCTCCTTCTTAGTAGCTGGTGCAGGGCTGTGTTTGGCCTTTACTCTGAGAACAGTGCTGATAACACACCGATGCTGTAGCTGTTGCTCGGTAACGCTTACCCTGATCAAGGACTTTTCCAGCCTCATGCTCTGCCAGTGAGGAGGGACACAAGAAGCCAGGAGGAAGCAGAGCCAGGACACCAGACCCAAACTAGCCATAGGGGTATTCCATACCAGAGCACGTCATGCCCAGGATAGAAACTGAGGGCAGTCACCCAGAAGGCCCAGATCGCTGCTCGGGTCAGGCTGGGTATCGGTCGGTGGGTGGTGAGCAATTGTATTGTGCTTCGCTTGTGTTTGTTGAGGTTTTTTTCCTTTCCCCTTTTAGTTTTATATTCTCTCCCCTTGTTATTTCCTTTATCATTATTATTATTAGTAGTAGCAGTTTTATATTATGCTTTTTATATTATACTTTGGTTATTGGGCTGTTCTTATCTCAACCTGTGGGGTTTACATTCTTTCGATTCTCCTCCCCATCCCACCTGGGACATGGGGAAAAGGGGGGAACGAGTGAGTGTCTGCATAGTTCTGAGGTGGTGGCTGGGCTTAAACCATGACACAGGCCCAGGTAGCAGTACTTCTCTTGAGGTCCAAAACCCTATGTTCAGGTGGGCTTCAGCTCCAGCACAGGCAAAAGGAGGTGGAGAAGAGCGAATGGAGAGGCTACCAGAGCTGGATCAGTCACAGGAGGAGGAAGTGAGGAAGAAGGACAGTGCTAAGAGGAAGTGGGTACAGAAGAGGGAAGCAGTTGCCATCCCCATTGAGCTTAAGGCTCGGAGAAATGACCTGAGTTTTCTATCTAACATCTTCATCCAAGCCTTTCCTGAGAGCTGATAGCCCAGGGACATCCGTACTCACATTCCTCTTTCTATGTCTTCCTGACAGGATGCAGGCTTAGAGAAATAACCTGTTTGTTCAGGCCCATGCTCTCCTCATGGTTGTTTCTCCATCCATGCTGCCCTGGTCTCCTGCCCTTCCTCCTTCTAGAAGTGCAGGGTCTCATTCTCCACTTACTTTCCTGATGACAGATTTGTGTTTTCTTGGCAGGATCTGAGCGAGTTAAACTCAACAACAGTGAAGAGCCCCACCAACACTGTGGCAGTGCAAAACCTCAAAGCTGGCACCATCTACGTCTTCCAAGTGCGGGCACGTACTGTGGCTGGGTATGGCCGGTATAGTGGCAAGATGTATTTCCAGACTATGACTGAAGGTGAGCCTTCACATGCCTTTATATAAAGATGACACAGGGTTTAGAGAGACTTGAGGAAGGTGGAGGTGCACTGGTAGCAGTGCTGGTCCCCCTGCTGTTGCTTCAAGGGTGCATGGGGACATGTCGACTCAGTTGGATTTAGAGGAGACAAGGTTTGTGATCTTCACGTGCACAGCTGTCAATGACAAATGCAGACCCAAGTCTTTATTTTCGGAATTTCTGCTGCTAAATCAAGCAGGCCAAGCCAGTTTTCTGGCCCTGAGGCCAAGGAGCAAGGCACAGCTTGCATCCATGGGACTAAAATTGCCACTCAAAAGGGATAGCTCCATCCAGCCTTTGTACTGGGGCATTTCCCCAGTCACAGCCAACCTGAGCCATGCCTGGGATAGCACTACAGGTCCAGGACCAAAACCATGCCAGGAAACCCATTAGCGAGAGCCATGCAAATGTGGACAGGACATGGCTCAGGGATGGGCTCTGACCTTAGAATCATAGAATAGGTAGGGTTGGAAAGGACCTTAAGATCATCCAGTTCCAACCCCCCTGCCATGGGCAGGGACAGCTCACACTACACCATGTCACCCAAGACTCCATCCAGCCTTGCCCTGATTACTGCCAGAGATGGAGCATTTCTTTGGGCAACCTTTGCCAGTGCCTCACCACCCTCACAGTAAAGAACTTCTCCCTTATATCTAATTTGGACTGGGATTGCCCTGACCTTGCACTTGGCTTGGTGGAACTTCATGAGGTTGTCATTGGCCCACTTGTCAAGCATATCCAGGTCCCTCTGGATGGCATTCCTTCCCTCCAGCGTATCAACCGAACCACACAGCTCGGTGTCATCAGCAAACTTGATGAGGGTGCATCAGTCCCACTGTCCATGTCACTGACAAAGATGTTGAACAAGATTGGTCCCAACACCAATCTCTGAGGGACACCACTCGTTACTGGTCTCCAGTTGGACATTGATCCATTGACCACAACTCTTTTGCGTGTGGCCATCCAGCCAATTCTATATCCAAGTGGTCCATCCATCAGATTGATGTCTCTCCAGTTTAGGATGTCATTGAGACCTTGGTGAACTTGTTAGTGTAGACGTACCCTGTGCCCCAGTAACCCCTTCCTTCTTCCTTGCTTGCCAGCTGAATACCAGACCAGTGTTCAGGAGAAACTGCCACTCATCATCGGCTCCTCTGCGGCAGGACTGGTGTTCCTCATTGCTGTGGTCGTCATCATTATTGTATGCAACAGGTAGGTCAGTCTGAGCCCATGACTGGGGCTGGGGCTGTACAAGGGGGTGGCGACTGGAGGCAGGGAAGGGGGAAATGGGGATTGGAGGATGAAGAGGGAAAGATGCTCCTGCAGTGCATCTTCATCCCCAGTGGAGCCATGCTGGTGCTCAGGACTCCCTTTCTTTCCAGAAGACGGGGCTTTGAGCGTGCAGACTCTGAGTACACCGACAAGCTGCAGCACTATACCAGTGGCCACAGTACGTACTGCGGCCCCCCGCCAGGCCTGGGGGTCCGTTCTCTCTTCGGTTTGTGTTCCTGTTCACTCATCCCTTGCAGCATGTGGGGAGCGCTCAGGCCACCTAGCCAGGCTGGCGTGTGCATGGGTAGACGGGAGGACCTGTGCTATCTAGATCACCCACCAGCCCCCTATGATCTAGATCCCTCTCCAGACCTGGGTGTTGTTGTGTGCCATCCGTGCAGTGAACATGTGTGCATGCCCTGTGAATCCCTGTGACATCCAACACACACCCCTGCAGCTGCTGGCACCACACTTTGTCTTGCTATGATGACTCCTGAGCTTTGCCCAGCTTGTGGGCAGCAGTGAAGACCCCTTTCTCAACCTACTCACCTCCTGCAGAGCACTGTCCTATGCAGGAACCCACATACCTCATGGTGCTTTTGCCAGAGCCCACCCCAGTGCTTCCAGAATCCTAGTAGATACATCTCTATATAGGTATCTAGTGCAACACATAACATGGCCTCTCTTGCATCCTCCTTCCAACATCCCTGTGTACTGCAAGGCACATCTTCTTTCACACCCTGCCAGTGTATACACCACCCCAGTGCATACTTATTCCTCTTATTGCTGCATGCCCTCTGAAATGCCTTTCTCCTCCCTCATCTGTCACTGCAATCCTGCTTTGTCCCAATCTCAGTCGTCGTTTACATCGTGTTATACTTGCAGCTTCAGGATTTCTGAATGCCACGTTCCTGTACAGACCTGGGCCTTCTTTAGGGGATGGAAAACATCAGTAGTGTTTCAGCACAGGACTCACTGTTGCTTCTGCATTTACCTGAGGCAGAGCACTGAGGCTGCCAGAGCAGCGCCGTGCTGGCTGCATTGCTGTAACTTACCAGGAGAAATGACACTCAAGAAAGATGATGGAAATGCAGCTCTCAGTTGTTTGTGAGCCCGTGCTGCATGTGTAAACATACATTCACGCTTTCTCCTGGGGTCTGGTACGTAACATGACAACTTCAGGCTGTGATGGCATTAATAGCTGTGCCTTCACGACTGTTGGAACAGGCACAATGCCACCGGATGCAGATGAACTGATAATGGGCCTGGGGTGCCTTTTAGCCACATCCTCACTCAAGAAGGCAGTCCAAGGCACGGTGCCTGCTCGGCTCCCCAGCAGCGATTGCTGTGGAGAGGCTACAGCTTATGGTTAGCAAATTGCCAAGGTGCATGGAGCCTGTAAGCATTGCAGGAACTACCCTGAATCGTACGCATGGAGCCAGGAGTTGTGCCTCTGGTTGTGTTGGGCTCCTTATTTTAGTGAGCTGTGAGCTCTGCTCTCCAAATACCCCTAATTTTGGGGCAAGCCCGAGGCCAGGCAAAGAAGTAGAGAAAGGGGAGAACTGCAAGCAGGAGCGGTGTCATGGTGTAGGTAGTGTGCAACGTGGCATCAGCAGTCCAGCCTCACCAGATCCCATGGTTATTGCCTTTCACATAAGCATATCACTGTGTCTTCTGGTCTGCCTAGCAGGAAGAGCTTGGGTTTTGCAGTTTCCCTAGCATCCCCTACAGCTTGTCTTGGCAATTTTGAGGCTACAGAAGGGACCCAAACCTCAGGCAGGGTAAACTATCAGGAGAACAGGGACAGACTGTCCCTCCTGTCTTGAGTGCTAAGCCCAGGTCTTCTCCACTTTCCCATGCCTCCGATGGGATGATGTGATGAGGTGGAAGCAGCATGCAGAGGAGGCCAGTGGGGCAGAGCTGCAGTCTCTACAAATGGTGCTCTTGCAGTGCTGCAGCATGATGAGTGTGGTGTGGCATTGGTGTGCCTGTGCATCACCTCCTGAAAGCAAATGCTCCTCTTGCTTTTCCTCTGCGTCTGCTAAAGCCAGTTCCTGCTGCAGAGGATGTGTGGTTCTCTATGGTCAGTTTGAAGTCCTAGCTAATCACGTAGCCCTCCACTGCCCTACAATGACTTACAGGCCACTGTTCATTACAATCCAGCTTTAACAGTCCTGTGCAAACATGGCTCTGCATGTTTTCTCTCAAACTGCCTTGCTGTGTCTGCTTCATGCCCTTCATGATGTGATTTGCTGGGGTAAAAAAATCCCCCCACACCAATAGGTTTCTCTTTTCCTCGATGACAGCCGTCAGTCATTCCATTTGCATCTGTCTGTCTGACTCTCTCCCTCACCTTTATGCAGTGACTCCAGGGATGAAGATTTATATCGATCCGTTCACCTATGAAGATCCCAATGAGGCCGTCAGGGAATTTGCAAAAGAAATCGATATCTCTTGTGTCAAAATTGAGCAGGTGATTGGGGCAGGTAGGTGAACTGGGAATGGCTGCCTGGCCCTCAGCAGCAGTCTGCTTTGCGGTGTCAGGCTTTGGTGAGGATTTAGCCTTACATGTACTGGGAAGCCAATAATGTGTTGCACTTAGCCCCAGCCTGGACTAGCAGGAGTAAGGTGGTCCAGTACTGGAAGAGCAAGTACATCTCCTCACTAGAGACAAGGAGTTCCTGTGTGCATACAGTCCCACGTGCAGTGCTCCTCACCAGTGATGAATCCACCTGAAGGGAGGCCTTTGGTGTGGAGCGAGGGAGGAAGCACAGATGGGATGGTGGGTGGTGAGCTCAGGGGCATGCAGGGAGCACGGTCCCTCAGGGAGAAAGGCAGAGATGGGGAGGCTGCCAAGTCCAACCTGTTTCCCTCTCCGCAGGGGAGTTTGGTGAGGTGTGCAGTGGGCATCTCAAGCTTCCTGGTAAAAGAGAGATCTTTGTGGCCATCAAGACCCTGAAGTCTGGTTACACAGAGAAGCAGAGACGGGACTTCTTGAGCGAAGCCAGCATCATGGGGCAGTTTGACCACCCCAATGTCATCCACCTGGAGGGAGTAGTGACCAAGAGCTCCCCGGTCATGATCATTACTGAGTTCATGGAGAACGGCTCACTGGACTCCTTCTTACGGGTATGAGATCCCAGGTGCATGTAGCTCCAGAGATTATGTTGGACCAGAGGAGGACTGGAGGGGAAGGGTCCTTTCCTTGTGCCAATATAGCAGTGCCCTTCACTACCCAGCATTTGTTGTCACTGAGGCAGCTGCTGCGTAGTCCAGAGGTCTGTGTTTTGGCAACAGAAGTGGAGGTGGCACCAAGGCTGTCATCTGTTAAGTGTGTCTGCTCGTACCAGCAAAAGGCTGTGCCTACCTCTACACATGCCCACAGATGCCTGCACGAACTCTGCCTCTGTGGGCATGGAAAGACGGTCTGACATAGCTTTAACACAGCAGGACTTCACCTCCAGCTGCTCTGTCTAAATATTTACACGTCTGAGTTTGAAATGGAGAATTCACTGTGTTGAAGGGAGAAAACCTAGGAATAGGTAACCCCTTCCGAGCCCTCCTGTGCAAGGTCTGGCACGTCTGCCACCTTTGGATAACAGCAGCCAGCGCAGTGATGCCCATAGGGTGTGAGAGTGACTTCCAGCCCTCTTTCTTTGCGAAGGAGCTTTGGTACTTGTGGAATGGATGTGTATTGACATGCAGTGTAGAAAGAGGCTACCGGTTGTTTGCCTGACCATACCAGGCTGTGCATTTTCTCCTCTCATGTGGACTCTTTCCCTCTTTTCCCCTAAGCAAAACGATGGGCAGTTCACAGTGATCCAGCTGGTGGGCATGCTGCGGGGCATCGCCGCAGGCATGAAGTACCTGGCCGATATGAACTACGTGCACCGGGACCTGGCTGCCCGCAACATCCTGGTGAACAGCAACCTGGTCTGCAAAGTGTCTGACTTTGGGCTCTCTCGGTTTCTGGAGGATGACACCTCTGATCCTACCTACACCAGTGCACTGGTAAAGCTGCTCTTCGTGAGGGGGAGGGATGGGTGGTGAAGGAAGGAGTCAGGGAAAGGGGAAGATCCCTTCCCTTTGACATTTGTCAGCAATGGAAATGAGGTGCCAGATGGGAAAGACCAATGAAATGAATCAAGGAAGGTTTTCTCTTGCCAGGTCCTGTCCAGTTGTCCTGTGGCTGTTGGTGGGCCCTATTCCTGTGGATAACTGGGTCTTCTTCCAAGCATATCTGCAAACATCTACATGTCCTTGATAAGGCTTTTAGTTGGGATGGTGCATTATAACCACCCAGCGTGGCCCAGATGGGAGTCCTCCGATAGGTTTGCACAGGACTGTTAAGGCTGGAGTGTAATGAATATTGGCCCATAAGTCATTGTCAGGGCAGGGGAGAAATCCATGCCTTTCTTTTTAGCCATGTTTGAAATCTGCTGCTTGTCAGGAGCTCTGTTAATACTCTACCTGATGGGGAAGACAGCATGGTTGGTATGGAGTGCTTGGTCTCCCCTTCTTGTGAAAACCAAACGATTTTGTCTGAGGTTTGTGGCTTTGAGGAGATTAAGGAGCATTATCTTGTTCTAGCATGTACAGGGTCTGAGTCCTATTAAGTCCTAGAAGACCCTTAGTAAGGCATGGTAGTTATTCACTGAGAAAATACAATGTTCCTTAATCTTCTCAGAGCCACAGGACACAGGTTTGCTTATTTTTCAGCAGAGGGGAAGATTTTTTTCCCTTCAGAAAGTCTCTTGAATTGTGAATGCCTCAAGTCCAAAGTTCTTAGTGGAAAATCACAAGGCTACAAGGCCTTAAGCAGAGCGTTGTCCTGTGGCCCCATGCTGTGTGTGTCGCTCTTGAGCACTTCAGTGCGTAGCTCCTCTATGGGAGTGGAGAGTACTGATTTCTCCAGAGCTGCTGTTGCCCAGCAGGCAACAGAGACCCCACAGCCTACCCAGTCCATCTCATCTCCACCAGTGACCAAGCATGCCATGTTAAAGATGGTCAATTCACCCTTCGTTTTTGTCACTAAAGACCTTACCAGCACAGAGGGTATTCTGAAGACTGCTATAGGAGTAGGCAGGTGGAAGGAGCTGGGCTTGTTTAATGCTATGAAGAGGAGGTTGAGAGGGAGCCTGTACGTGACCTGCAGTACTTGAAGGGCAGTTACGATGGAGACAGAGCCAAACTCTTTGCAGTGGTACAAGATGGTGCAATAAGGAACAATTGACAAAACCATAGCTTGAGAGGTTCAAGGTGAGTAACAGAAAAAGCTTCTTCCCCAAGAGGCTGGTGCAGCCTTGAGACGGGTCACCAGACAAGTGAGGGGAATCATCATCCTTGATGGTTTTGTGGCCTTGGCTAGACAAACCACAGACACCCTGATGCAGTGTTAGGGTTAGTCCTGGGGCAGTTTTGGACAGTTGTCTTTTCCAATTACTCTTGCTCTTTCTGTTACTATCCTGTTCTTTTCTCCTGCAGGGTGGGAAGATCCCAATACGATGGACAGCACCTGAGGCAATTCAGTACCGAAAATTCACCTCGGCCAGCGATGTGTGGAGCTATGGAATAGTCATGTGGGAGGTGATGTCGTATGGCGAGCGGCCTTACTGGGATATGACCAATCAAGATGTGAGTTGTTAAGAAACAAGGAGCAGAAACACTGAAATTGGAAGCGATGCAAGGCCAAAGCGTGGCTACAGCTAGACCCAGCCTGTGGCATGTCCACAACCTTCTCTGTCATGGGAGATGTGTCCAAGGTCAACGCCTTTGGAAGAAGTAATGGGGATAACTTTGGCTTTTGTGCTGCTGTGGCAGAGGTTAGGGACTGTACAACACCCAGTGCAATAGGACAGGGTTAATGGGAGCACCCTCAGGGATGGTAGACATGCTCAGGAGGAAAGGGAGCAGGCAGGTGGAAAAGGAAATGCTACCACTGACCTGAGAGCTCCTGGAGCAGCAAGCACATCTTCATCTACAGGAGACCACAGGCATTTGGTAAAAGTTTGTTAGAGTCACAGAATGGTTTGGGTTGGAAACAACCTTTAAAGATAACTTAGTCCAACCCCCCCTGCCACGGTCAAGGTCGTCTTCCACTAGAGGGTCATTAAATTTCCCATGACAAGCTTGGATGTGATGTGTAAGAAGCCCCTGGAAAAAGCTGTGCAGCTCCATCCTCCTTGATTGTAGAGAGGATGGAGGGCTGCAGGAGGTTCCTCTTGAAGAAGAGCCTCTAGCCCTTGTGCATGTGCTTCTTCCATTGCACATTGCAAGACCAGACATTTTCCCATGTTGTGTGATGCAGTAAGGAGAGAGCAAACACGCAGCAGCCAAAGCCACCTTGTGTTTGGCCCGCAGAGCTGCAGCATGGCTTAGGCAAGGTGTGCTGCAACCCTTCTCTACGTGCTGTAGCGAAGTTGTCATGTGTCTGGTTCTGTTGCCCAAGGTCTTGGTGCTCCCCACTGCGTGCTCCAGTTTGCATGTGCACAGGGCTGTGGGGAGATCCAACATGTACTGCTGGCTCAGTGCACCCAGCCCTGTCTCGTGGCATGACTGTCACTGGGTTGTTGGCAGGAGTGAGTGGAAAGCACCACTGAAGAAAGGAAGACAC